TTTTTGGGGCATCTCCACAGGGAATGAACCTTTGAACTATTTGTTACCGTTCATTAAAATCCCGACGGTTCCATTCTTCTGGAACAATCAAGTAAAAGCAAATGGAATATCCATTGAAGAGGTTTTATAAATTTTATCATTTATCAGGTTGAATGGATCAACGAACACATGGGTCCCACGTTGAGAAAATCAAAGTTCTCGGAAACGAAATTGATTGGTTTGGATGATCAAAGGACTTTTGTTCCTCTCTTAGAATTAGTAAGTTCAAATTGAAGCAGTTAAATTGAAGATTTATTCATTCGATTCATTTATGTAGCAATTATTGAATAACGTGACGAGAGGATTCATAGATGGTGTAGGTGTACATTGGTACATGGATAAGTATATACCTAATAGCGTTATTTCAAATTTCCACAGGAAATACCCTGAAAAGTTCATGTTTGCTTCAGAGGCTTGCAGTGAGTATATAATTAACTCTTCTTGACGAATTACGTTGAATTAGAAATTTCTAGTTTCATCTGAGCCTGTTGTTCTTGGTTCTTGGGACAGAGCTGAACGATACGCAGATAACATCATAGACGTAAACTTTAATTCCAGAACATTTCAATTATAAACTATTACTCAATTGCTTGCAGGATTTGCTCAACTTCATGGGTGGTTGGGTGGACTGGAACATGGTTTTAAATGTGAAAGGAGGTCCGACTTACATCAATAATTTCGTAGATTCTCCGATCCTCGTAGACTCTTCTGCAGGAGAATTCTACAAGCAACCCACATTCTATGCGATTGGTCATTTCTCCAAATTCTTGCCCGAAAGATCCATACACATCGACGTCGAAAAACAGCGAGGATTGAAAATCGTCGCATTCGAAAGACCCGATAACGGCACGGCGATCATCATTTTAAATAAGTAAGTTACTTGCATCTAAATTCCTTCAATACAATTTTTTTTTTCTTACAGGAAAATCAAAAGCAGAGCGTTGAAACTGGCCGACCCAGATCGAGGAGAAATCATCCTAAATGTAGCTCCAAAATCAGTATCAACCATAGTTTATTGGTAAAGATCAACAATATTAAACCCTTTATTTTTATTAACAATTTCGTTTGTACAATCCCGTTTATCATTTATAATCCCAAAACGAAGAATCAATTCGTTTTGCTATTTTTGATGGCATGCAACGCGTAATTGATGTCCGTGCTATCAATCCAAATCCATTGGCGCGTAACTGGGTTCAAAGTCATACCATGAATCCTCCTCGTAGTGCAATCACCTAAGAAATGAAATATATGTGATGTCTTTCATTTTAATATATCTTTCATTTTAACTTACATTCTTCCAGCAGCCGTTGCAAGTTATGCGGACATATGAATTTGTTGTGATCGTGCGTTCCCTTCGGCAGAAAATTTAGAATGTTCTCAGCTATGCATATGCCAACGACATTAGCGACAAGAGTTTTACTCATGGTGGTCAGAAAGAAGGATCCGCCGGGTTTCAAACAATCGACGCAGCTCTGCAGAAATATCTTCTTCTGATCGACGTGCTCGACGACCTCCGAGGAAACTATAGCGTCGAAACTCTCTTTGTTTTGAACAGAGAACTCTTCTACAGTTGTCCAAGAGTAATTCAAACTTTCGAGACTCTTATCAAAAGACTTGTGTGCGTCCGCTATCTTGATCAGCTCTTCGGTGGCGTCTATACCTGTGACGGAAGCGCCCAAACGCGTCAACGGCTCGCAGAGGAAACCACCTGAAAACTCAAATTACATACATCAAATTTAAAAAATGCTCGAAAAAGCAGTGTTTTCACATTTCATTGATTTTCTCGAAAACTATAAT